CTTTCAACATTTATACTCCGCCCGTAATATATTTATTGTGAATGCTTTTTAAGCTTTTTAACATATTTAAATTGCTCAAAATGGATAAGTTTAACTAGAATTATTGAATCAAATAAATTTAAAATTAAATATTAAATTAATCTTATCTTAAATAAAAAAAAATAACTCGCGTCACTTACAATAAAGAGGAAATTACATGGGACCAGGTGTTTAAAGTTTCAAATTCAAAATTCAAGGACCAAGTTTCAATCTTCAAAAATCAGGTGCTATATAAAAACCTAACCCTAATTTTTTCCTCTCCACCCCCTCCCCCTCCCTCCCCTCCCCCATTTCACCCCTTTCCCTCCCCCTCCCCATCCCCCTCTCTGCTGCGATTCGCAGCAGCGACGTGCTGCTACGAAGCGCAGCAGAGTGCTGCGATTCGCTGCGCTTCGTAGCAGCAAGTCGCTGCTGCGGTTCGCAGCAGAGGGGGGGATGGGGGTGGGGATGGAGGGGGAGACGGAAGAGAGAGGTGAGACGAGAGAGAGGGGAGGGGGTTGTGTGAAAACTTAGGGTTAGAGTATTTATATAGGATCTGATTTTTTAAGATTGAAATTTAATCCCTGATTTTTGAATTTGATAATTTAAACACATGAAATTGTGTAATTTCCTACATTTATACACATTTAATTACATATATCGGCCACTTGAATTAAATAATTTCCCCATACGACCGGGTAAAAAACGATTCCCAGTTTTGCTGCTGGTTGGCGGGTTTCCCCTGCGATTTTCACAACACCGGCACTGGTTTACCGACTGCTTCCGTTTTTTGGTCGAACCGTAGTTTAATTTGGAAATCTTACGGCTGTATAGAGAGTAGAGAAATTATGGAAATTTACGGGTATTTTGAACGCTGATTAGTCAGTCAGATAAATTCAAGCTCAGGCGGCGGGTGTTTGCAAAATTACGCACAAACCCCTGATTTTTCTAGATATATAGATTGCTCATCTGCATTTCAATACCATTGGATGTCTGTTTCGCAGAAACTCTTCTTCAGTTTTACTCGTAATTTTTATTGTCGTTCTTCTCGAGCTCTCTTTCCTGCCGGGAACTCCCTTTATCTTTCCCATTTCACAAGTTCATCGTTCTTTGTATCATCCATGCCCCGCAAACAGGTATCCCTATTTTGTGTATTTATTGTGGCATTACGAATTTATAGGTGTATGTGCACGGGGAAGAAATGTAGATATGATGTAGGTTCTGTTTTTCGATTAATTACTCGGGGCAGGAATGAAGGAGACTGTAATTTAGTGGGGGTGGGGGACTGACAGTAAAAGTTTTGAAACAATTTAATACAACACCATTTTTCCATACTTTGAAAACTATTTATAATAACATTGTTAACAATATCATCAATTATATGGACATTAATATTGACGAACAAACTCTCATTCAACTATTAACCTCCATTTTGGTGGAGTTTATGATAATATGTTGTTTCCTTGTGATATGATGATTGATTAGAAGTGATGATTGATTAGAACTGATAATTGATTGCCCTATTTGTGTTTTCTTGATGAATTTGAGCTCCAAATGGGTGTCTAGAATGCTGGAGTTTATGATGATATGTTGTTTCTGTGTCATGAGATTATTGATTCTAAGTGATAATTGGTTACCCTATTTCTAGTTGTTTGATGTTTTTCAAGGTCTCAGAAAGGTCACCCATAGTTGTAGTGTCTACTGAAGAACGTTATAAAGTTACTCTTTTACTGAACAGAATGGAATTGAAAATAAGGAGCTAATTGTGCATATCATTTTATTGGAGCCGTTCTTTACAACTTGTCGGTTGAAATCCACGAGTTGCTTTCTGTTAAAATCTTTGCTTTGCCATTTTTGGGTTTCATGTACACATCAAAAGTGTGAGAGAATAATCACCATTAACAAGAGAAAGTGCTTCACAGGGAAACTCTATATCTTATAATACAAAATATGAACACAACAATTTAGAATCACTGCTTAAGATAAAGCTCAACAAGTTTCTTCAGGGTGTCAGAAAACACTAGTAAATGGGTTTAGTTCAACGGGATCTTTTAGTTCTTCTAGTCCTTTACCAACCAATCTCGTTTTTGCATACCGTTTTCAAATTTATAAGAAATATGTTTATAAAATAGTCTTTTTGGATGCATTTAGTGCACTGCTGACCTAGTTATCTTATTTAAATGTCATATTAAGCTCCATGTTGAACGTTGAATTTCTATTTCACCTTCACCTAATGTACGAGTTTGGAAATTTTTAAGAGAATGTTGTTGACTATGACATAGCTAGGACTAACAGGCATGATTGATTAATTGTGTTTCTAGAGGAATCCCCTTAGTATTCATTTGTAGTTGTCTTCTTGCTATGAAGCCTGTCGAAAGCCATATTGTGTTTGCTTCTTATTTTGGTTGCCGAAAGTAAAGATTAGTGTTTCTTAAAAAATTGCAGACATTATACACATCAAATTGCTAATCACCTGAAGTTTATATTTAATTCTACCACCTTTTTTTGGCAACTAAACATTCCTATAAATAAAATATGGATCATGAAAAAACATTGTAGTAGTCAGTAAAGTAATGAAGTTACTCAGCACTGAAGAACAATAAAACCTTTTTTGATACCACTAATAAACTAATTCGAGAATTATAACATTTTTAAGAAAACAGAAAGTAATATTTAAGAAACCAAGATCATGAAAACCCATAATCCCACCACTACAATTAACTCTTATTCTGGGATTCTCTCAATGAGCAGCTTTATATAATATATCATGACTTAAAATCCTTGCTCCAAAGTAAACAAAGAATGGAAGGGGTGTTCTGGTTTGGAGGTTTTAGCATTCCAATCTTTCTCCTTCTACGTTTCATCAAGTGCATCAGATTCACTCCAAGATTATCGTAAATAGAATCCAGAAAGTGGCAATCTGGGTACAAGAATTTTGGGTATGTACATCTGATGGTTAACAGATGAATTCATCAGTAAGCAACACATGAATTGGGGGAAATTGTAGGTGGAAAAAGAAAAAGAATGATTTTTAACCATTGTGAAGAGAAGTCGTCGTTTAAATGGAGTATATTTTTCCAAGCTGTAAACTTTTAACACCATTAGTAGCCATTTAAGATTTGTAAGATTCCCATCCGCCACTTGGACCTTTTTTTTGTCCAGTTTGATGGATGAAATTGATATGGGTGATTGATGGGTAACTTTGTTTAAATGTGGGTGAGCAATAAGCAACATTTTAATTTTGGGCGAACAAGTAGTAATTGAAGTGATTGATAATTTAATTAACTCCATGTTTATTTGATGTTTTTTCAGTTTTAATTGTTGTGCTTTTATGCTCCAACTATTTGGTTTCCAAGAAAGAATAGTGATTTTGAATATACTACCTCCGTCCCACAAAGAGCTTTATTTTCCTTTTTGTTTGTTCCAAACTATAGTCCACTTTCCTTGCTGAGAGTATAATTAATGTCTTAATTTTCTAATATACTTCTATTTAACGTGATTTGTTATCAACAAATACGAACTACCATTATTCAATGTAGGAGTATATTTGGAAAAATATATGTAAAATTTATAGTTCCAACATATATTAATTAAGTTTTCGTATTCTGTGTGAAAATGGAAACAAGCTGATTTTTACGAGACAAAGGGAGTAATAAAAAATTGGAAAACTCAATGCAGTGCATGACAATTTGTTTCTTGTATTGTGAATTTCTATGTTTATTATTTCCAAATTGAGGGTGATATGTTTGAGAATATGCGTAATTTTGGTTATGTTCTGTGGCAGTGTTCTTTTCTTGTTTTGGCATACCTGAATAACTGTATGAATTAATTTTATTATAAGCAGCGAAGAGGTGGTTCTAAAGAACACAGGTGGATAGAGGAGCCTAATTCCGATTGGCCATCTACCTCGTCCTCATTGACCGAAGACATCTCAAATGAAACTGCTGAAGTTATCACCAATAAACTTAACTCTTTGAGCGTTGCAGAACACAGTGGGCAATCTGCTGTTTCAGTACCGGCTCTACAGTTTGGGAGTGTTGGGTTGATGAACCATGCTCCTGTTCAGGGCCAGAAAGCAATATGGAAGCCCGAGGTATATGGAACTGCAATTGGAGCCACTACAGTACAAGTTGATAAAGCTCCAGCTGATCAAACTACGGTGCTGGATAATGGAACTCAGACAGCATCAAGTGGGAAACATGATGCTGTTCTGAGTAAGTTGTTCAAAGGAAATTTATTGGAAAATTTTACTGTGGACAACACCACATATTCACTTGCACAAATTAGAGCAACATTTTATCCAAAATTTGAAAACGAGAAGTCTGATCAAGAGGTAAGCTCTCCTATGTACGTCATTTGTTATCCAGATAAAACGATGTTTCAAATTACTGTAGTTTACTTACGAGCTGAACTTTAAACTGTCAACCATGATTTTAATAAGCTTATGTAACTGCGTAGAGTTTCACAGTCCCTGTAAATTCGAATTGGCTGTAGCTTTTTGGTCATTGTTAAAGAACACTTGGGCGTTCTTATTTAGCCCCAGTTTGAGCCCCCCATTTTTTGAGAATAGACTTTGAAAAAAATGTTTCTTGGAGAATGTGTTGTTAAAAAGTTTTGTGTTTACGGGCAAAATTATTTTATTAGGAGAACTTGTGGTTGAAAATGAGTTGGGGGAAAATGAATTTTAAAGAATGGAGCTCAAACAGGGGTTTAATTTTTTGTTAGTTTAAAATTGAGATGCTATCATATTGCTACTGGTAAGCACATTCGAAAGTTTAGTCTAAACATGCCTAACTATTGTTTTTATGCCATCCTTGCAGATTAGGACACGAATGATAGAAATGGTTTCCAGGGGCTTAGCTACATTGGAGGTTGTAACGGCTACTGTTCTTTCCATGCTCCCCACTTCTTTCATAATGATGTTTAGTTAATCTTTATTTGACTCTCTCTCTCTCTCTCGGATTAGCTGTTCATTTACTTGAGCCAACTCAATTCTCTCAATTAATCAATTTAATACTCTAGTGAAATCTACACTTGAACAGGTTTCACTTAAGCACTCTGGATCCCTTTTCATGTATGCTGGACATGAGGGTGGAGCTTATGCCAAGAACAGCTACGGGAACATGTGAGCTCATTGTTGATGGACCTTGTTTCTTCTTCTTCTTCTTCTTTTCTTTTCTTTTTCTGCCTTCTTGTTACCCCCTCCCTCGTGTCTGTCTTCCAGGCATTGCGTTGTACTGTTGCTTTTAGTTTTGTGTTTTTATAAACTTTCTAAATTTCATGCATGTACTATAGTTATACTGCTGTTGGCGTCTTTGTACTTGGACGTATGTTCCGTGAGGCATGGGGTTCACAAGCCAGCAAGAAGCAATCTGAGTTCAATGAGTTCCTTGAGGTAAACTTTTGGTGAGGTATTCATGGATAAAATGCTACACACATGGAGAAGCTCTTCTGAAGAGCCACAGATATTCTCTCTCCTTCCCCCTTTATCTGTGTAAGCTTTATTATGTGCATAGTTAAGCTACCAATCATAGCCTGATCATCCCAGTGATTGAGATGTGAAAGAAAATTAGCAGAAAACGATGAAACTGCTGAACCAAATCTAAAATATACAGGTGACGCAATTGCATAAATGAAGTTATAAAGCATTGGATGTATAATTAGATGAAAGCTTTCATGGATATATAACTCCGCCACGCCATTCTAACATATTTTCGATATTGACTACATTGACCATCGTTAACGAGCTCCACAAGGTGCCCATCTACATAATAATACTTGAATTAAACTTGAGTTCTGGAGATCTTTTGTTTGTTTCATCTTGGGGTTCTAATGAAGATACTTTCTTGATTATTATCCATCAATTTTGTCTAGGCGCGTGCATCACTGTGCAAATTGTATATATTATAACTTCGCACAAGTTAACAACATGTCAGCATGTGCAGAACTTTGTATAGATGTGCACTTGTGTCACTTCATGCTCTCCGATCCATGTGGAGTTTTTTCTTCAACTGTTCTAAAATTAACATTACCCTTTTGACCTTTTCAGCAAAACCGCATGTGCATATCAATGGAGCTGGTTACTGCTGTATTAGGAGACCATGGGCAACGTCCTCGAGACGATTATGGTGATGAAACAAGAAAAATTCTTCACCCCTCCCCAGCCCCTAAAGACGAAAAAAATAAATAAATTATTAACTGAATACAAGCCTTATTCCCTGTAACTTTTAGCTGCATACTCCTTTTTCGTCATTCCTTCCGTTCATTTCTAGATCTACTGGGATATCTAAATAAACTAGATCCTTATGTAGGTACCAAGGCATAGAGATAAGTTCAAATCATATGATTATAATGTTTTAATGTATTCATTTTGTGGTTATTGTCTTTTGAGCACGTGAAAAAATTTACATTCTTTTAGAACATCACATACATGGTTGACCGGCACGAACATTTTATGTTTCCTGATCTAATTTATTCTAAAATATTTATGCACATAATATTAGGTCAATATTGCTGATACTTCATCCATTTTGTTCTGAGCAGTGGTTGTGACTGCCGTCACAGAATTGGGTTCTGGAAAACCAAAATTCTATTCGACACCCGATGTTATCACTTTCTGTAGGAAATGGCGGCTGCCAACAAACCATGTGTGGTTATTCTCAACAAGGTGATTGCTTGTAGTCTATATAGTTGAAGCTATAGATTAATTGACGGTGAATTTGTTGCTTGACACATAAAAGATTAATTTCTTTAGGATAAGCACCACAAAATTGACTTGAATTGAAGTTTCTCGGTCTTCAACTCATGCAATGAACTTTTTTATTTACAAATTCAGTGTCGACATGCTAAGAGTTCTGACCATTATCGAATGATCATGTTTTTTTGTTAATAAAAATTATTCTTGGTTCTGATTGTGTGCCCAATTCTTTTCCTCCCATTTTCTGGAAAAGAGTTGATACATAAATTGTCCTTAATCTTTTTTGTCATTATGAGTTGTGAAGGCACCAGCTATTTGGAAGGTTTACTTTGGAAACTTGGTGGAATCCATAACTTCATTCTTCAGTCAGAGAGTGCATAAACTAGTTGACTAGTCTTACTGCAAATGCAATTTCAGGCTGAGTATGTGAAAAGTAAATGTCTTACTATGAGTTGCTAATAGCATTTTTTGTTTACCTTTGAACTTGAATTCCTCAATCGCCATTGATGATTACGATTGCTGGGATTTCAATTGGTTTGCTTCCAAATAATACTGGCCCTTTGAGTAGGTCTTAAGGTATATAAGACAGATACTGCTATGCGAACTAGCAATTTACTTGCCAAAAAAATATTTCAATTGAGCAAGATTTCTGATTTCAAATTCCTGGCAAGAATGCCTTAAGTTTGGTGCATAAACGTACACCTCTATCCCTTTTGTTCCTGAGAGGTTCACTGATTTTTTTTAGTTGATAAGCTGTCACTTGAAACCCCCACCATTATTTTCTTCGCCCCAGTTCAGAATTATGGGCAACTGGTTGAGTGAGAAGATTCTTATGTCGGGCGTCCACAATTCACTTTCAACATCCCCAGATGTAACAGGGTTTAGATTGCACCAGAATGTTGTAACATGTAAAATTTTGGTTTTCCTTTGCTCCTTTTTTTCTTATCAAGCATTGCATTAGAGTAGATGTTTATACAATGTAAACTATACAAATTGATAGCTAATCATCCTGTAGATATGGGAATCAAATCCCAAAACTAAGAGATCACTAGTTTATTTTGTTCAAATTAGGAATATGAGTACTACTGAGTGCTTCAATTAGTGCTTCTCTAATATGGCTGGTGGCTGGTGCAATTTGAAGGTGAGAATTTTCATGTAACTTCTTCTGATGCAATTTTGTATTCTTTCACAATTTCAGGAAGTCCGTGACATCATTTTTTGTGGCTTATGATGCACTCTGTGAAGAAGGAACTGCTACTCCTGTTTGCAAGGCTCTTGATGAAGTTGCAGATATATCTGTACCAGGTAGGATTTATTTGTTACCTATAGTCATTTTTATGTTATCTATAATAGTCTATAGATATCCATGGTGGTTCTTTTTATTCTTTTTTCTAAATGGGATGAGCACTGTTATGGCAACATGTTCTGTTTGACACACCCTCAATTTTCATTCATTTCCAAATCATAAGAGGTCTTATAAGTGTCTTTACCACTTGCTTTTTGTGAAAAATTTGCATCTACAGTTTACCTTTCATTTCAATTATCTGCAGGATCGAAAGACCATGTAAGAGTGCAGGGTGAAATATTGGAGGGTCTAGTGGCTCGCATAGTAAGCCATGAGAGCTTGAAACATATGGAACAAATTTTGAGTGACTTTCCTCCACCACCATTAGAGGGAGGTAAGTTTCAAATAAAGGTTTGTTCTGGTTTTTTAATGGCATTTATTGTAGGATCAGGAGTAAAGCCAGAATCTGCCACCTGCATATATTTTCTTTCCTTTTGCAGATTACTTCCTGAAATGATCTCCAGCAGTATGCGTTGGAATCTTTGAAATGTTTCAGTTATCCACTTTGTTCAACTCATAAAAAGATAAAAAAACAGAACAGAGAAAATGTTGTGCTAATTAGGATTGTTCTCACGCTAAGACAAAATATCTTCATATTGTGTAATTGTTACAGTAACTGCAATTTTTTCTGTTGTGCTACATCATTATAGTAGTCACATAGACCAATGGCTTTGTCATGATTAGTGATAAGTGAAATGCCATGGTAAGCAGGAATCACAATAATTGCATGTGTAATTGTTAATGTATACCAATTTACTATTCTTCCCGCTCTTATAATTAGTATCTCCAAACACAACAAATTAGAGGCTGGAGTGCTTCCAATTTCTATACTGAGGATTTTGACTATGTTTGTTCTCTCTCCACCCCTTCCTCCTCCTTCCTTTACCCTTGCTTTTCCAACCTCTGTGTTTCATGGTATTTAGTTACTATTGCTTTGTATTTTAATTTTGCCTTGGTTTTATTACTCATAATGACCAATTGCTTATCAGATGGCCAGGATTTGGGACCTAGCCTGAGGGAGATATGCACAGCAAATAGAACTGATGAGAAACAGGTGACGTAATATATATTTTTATTGTGATATTAATGTGCATCACTTACTCATTTTGAATTGAAGTATGTAACTGTGTATGTACATCTTTATTTTGTTGGATTATAATTTGCAGCAAATAAAGGCACTTCTTGAGTGTGTTGGGACGTCTTTCTGCCCAAATTATATGGATTGGTTTGGAAATGAAGCCTCTGATTCTCATTCAAGAAATGCAGATCGATCTGTAGTGTCAAAATTTTTGCAAGCACATCCAGCAGATTATTCCACCACCAAACTGCAGGTCAGGCTGTTCACTTTTTCACCATCTTGTTGATGTGGTGACTAGGTGGAAATTATTAAGATAAATTCTGATAAAGATATATTCATCTGATTACGTATTCGTTTGACAGATGTTTTGAATAATTGATAATTTTATTTTGGTTTATTCAATGTGATTGGAGAATGAAAACAACCCTCTTTTGGCCAGTTGATGCTTTTAGTAACTACCTATAAATGATGATAGTTCCACTGTCCTTGCTAGACAACAGGATTGAGAGTTTTTACAGATTTTTTGTATTCCCTTTTTTCCTTTGCATCAAGTTCTTAAGAATCCCATTATCTTCTAATGCAATACATATCTTTCTGTAGTTTTGTGATCATAGTAACTCGAAAGATAAACATATTGTTTAATCTTTTACATCAGGAAATGGTTCGTTTGATGAGGGAAAAGCGATTTCCTGCTGCTTTTAAGTGTTATCACAACTTCCAGAAGATAAATTGTGTCTCAAGTGATAATCTTCATTTCAAGATGGTAATTCATGTACACAGCGACTCAGCCTTTCGCCGGTACCAGAAAGAGATGAGGTCTGCTTTTGAATTCTGTCTCTCTCTCTCTCTCTCTCTCTCTCTCTCTCTCTCTCTCTCTCTCTCTCTCCTTTTCTTTTCTTTCATTAATGAAAAACAAGTTTTGATTGTTATTCTTCATCATAAAGCTTTTCTTGCCTATGTGTTCTTTATTCAAGAATAAATTGGCATGTCTCAGGTTCAAGCCAGAATTGTGGCCGCTATATCGAGGTATGTCATGTTACTTCAATACAAATCCATCTCTTTGCTTTCTTCTGCTGATTGTTTCTGGACGCACAATTTTAATGTCATGGGAGCATCACCTTGTGGAGCCAATAATTTTTTTTTCTTCGCTGAGTTTTGGATAATTAATGCATAGATGTTGTTGAATCAGGGCCATTGGTCGTTACTGGATGCTTTGTGTCAATTCTACTGTTAAACACATTTATGCACTTCACATTGATACAAGGGATTATCACCATATCACTTGTTTTTTAATTTTCTCCAACATAGAGTGTGAACCAGGCACAATTGTTCTCCAAAAAAAAGGACAGGCATATTCCTTACAATCAAGTTATCAGTTAGCATCTTCCTACTGATGTCGCATTCTACAGAAATAATACGTTTTGCGTCGAAAGACTTCCGATAAATAGGAAATCAGACCTAACCAAAATAGCAAAATTAATTCCATATAAACAAATCTGGCACCGCTCACTTCTCAGCACAAATGAGGCTTCATTACCTGCATCTTCAATTGCATTTACTATAGCATCCTTACTGATAATAGCTGAGGCATATTGAATCTCCCCTGTTGAAGTAGCAAAACAATTACGGTCCTTTCACACCTGGTAAGTTTTTTTTTCTTTTTCTAGTGTACTTTCTACAGAATTACACAAGCTGCACATGTTATTCCTCTTATTCTGAACTGTCCTACTGGAGTTCCAAGTGGCAGTCAGACTAGCTGGAAGCCTTCGAAACTTGAGGCCTTCCAGCACTGATCTGACTCCACTGCTTGGGTTCAGTGTTAGTGTGTCTGGGGGTGTGGTGACTGCTGGTGTGGTTGGGGGGTGGGGAGTGAGGATCGAGTGGAGGGGGATTGGTGGGAGGAGGACTGGGGTTTTGTCAATTTCATCTTTTTCACTTTAACTTTCTTTTTCCTATCTATTGTTTTTTAATTTAACTATGTTAAAGGCATAACTGTCTTTTATCCTTCAAAAGTTGAACATAATTGCAAAGTCGACGGTATACAAGCATAAAAACAAATCGTGCTGTAAACTAAAAAGGTTGAGGATTGTGCTTACTGCTGGCAAAAATAAAAAATAAAAAACAAAAGAAGAGGTTGGGTCCAAGTTGTTACATCACTATAAGTTGGGAACTAACGCTATAATTTTCTTTATGTATGAACAACTACTTTATTGTTGGTTGAAATATGAGGGCTGAATATCTGTGCAAATAATTCAATAGGTTAGTTATATGTGCTTGCAACCCTCTGCATGACATCAGGGAGCTTGAGTAGTTTCTTTCTGGTAGGACTTAATTGACCCTCTAGCAGCTTGAGCCACACACACACACACACACACACACACACACACACACACACACATATATATATATTCTGAAATCTGAATTTGGTAATGGGGGGTTTTAATCTCAGGGAGAATGAGGAGATACCATCCTCTCTACATCCGCTTGAGATGCTATGGTTAAGTAGGATATAACTGTGCTGTTGTTAATGAGATGGGATGAAAACAATGTGTTATGGATTGGAAGTTACACGAAAGATTGTTAGCGGTCCTTTAACCTTAGCAGTAGGGCCCGTTAATGTTTTTTGTCCTGTTTATCAAAAGGCAGGTGACATGATATTCAGATTTTAATTCAACTGAAGATATAATGAGGCTGGGAACTCTAGCATTCACTCTTATACACTTACAAAATTGAGTTTCAATCAGTTATGGGTAAATGGGGTGGGGAATATATATATACATTCTCACATAATCAAAAGCGCAAGCCTTCTCAACTATTGAAATAGTAAGCAACTCAGCCTTTACCACCTTATTCTGTAGTCCAGCTTTTCTTTTGCCTTCAATTTTTATCTCTTCTAATTTAAATCCATGTCCAAATTTTTATTTCAAGTTGAATTTGTTGTATATGGAAAATTGGTCAAGTCTTTTTGGACAGAAAATGCAAGACATTACAGAAGAAGTGTCTCATACAAACTCTAGCATGTGGGAGCATGATTTCAGTTAAAACAAAGGGTTATGAACATATTTTTTGAACCATGCAGTTTGGAAATGATAACTCTTGCCGTAATCAGCTTCTTATCCTTCTTGCTTTTATCAGGGTTTTTTGTCGATCTAAATTTATTCAAGGCTAATAAGGAGAGAGCAGCAGAATTTGCCAAGGAAAGTGATGCTGTATTGAAAACTATGAATGAAAGCAACGGTGCATCTGGAAAAGATGGTTTAGCTGATGAAGACGCAAACCTGATGATCAAGTTAAAATTTCTTACATACAAGGTATGCGCGCTTCAGAGGCTGACTTATGAAATGGTTTGGCTCCTACTCGATCTTTTGTTTTTCACAAAAGTACCATATGCATGTATCTAAATGGAGAAATCATTTAGAAAACTTGGTTTTAAGTACCTTACCCGGCTTCTGTGCTTATCTTGGTCCTTCTTAATTGATATTATATATATAGAGAGATATATTCAACATAATGGATTAAAAGCTTGTATCCAAAGAGGAAGTAAATGTATTTTTATGTTTTATGTATAAAGCAAATGAAAGTACATCAGCCATTAAGGGATCAAAAGAAACAAGTAGGTGGAAAGATCTCCAATCTCTCTGATTTGAGCTTGAGTCATATTTGTGAAGTTCATTTAGCGAATGATGGGTAAAAAAGATCTTATCATCTTGATATTCAAATATGCAGATAAGGACGTTTCTCATACGGAATGGCTTGTCAATTCTTTTCAAAGAAGGTCCGGCCGCATACAAGGCCTACTACTTGAGGTAAACTTTACCTAAAAGGCATACATCAACAATGGTATTGGAATTAGAAATTTGAAGAATGCTCTTCATTACATGTAAACGTAGGTAAACGCACGCACACATGCATGCTAATTGTCATTTATACAGGCAAAGAATATAGCAGATGTTCAGATGAATGTTTTGAACGGTCTAGTCTTTGATCACCATACTGACAGTGAGTATCTTGAATATGGCTTCTCAACATATAGATTGGGTGTTGTCAAGACGTATAGAGGACGTGTTACGGGCATGGAGGAGGAAAACTTATCCCGGGATGCATTGTTTGGTGTGTGTGGAGGGAAAGGAATAACCGATGCTTTGAAGACTAAACACGGAACACGGAGCAATTTAGAGAATTATTTTACCTGACTTTGTATACTTGGTTTAATGCAGCGATTAGCAATCCTATAGAGGGGCTGCCTAATTTCATATCTTTTCTTTCTTGTTTAAACTGATAATACACTTCCTGTGTGTTCTTCCTTGATTAATAAAATTTTCCGATTATCTATCAAAAAAAAAATCTTGAATATGGTTTCTGATTCTAATTCTCGAAAAATATTAGAGGACATCCACCTAATTTCCAGCATATATTCTAAAGTTATTCTTTTTTTTTTGCGGGACTAAATATGTATACAATTATACAAATCTAGGTCAATGCACTTATAGGGGTCAATTAATTTTTTAGCGATATCAAAAAAATGAACTAAAGTTTAAACTGAAATTCTTTAGACTTCTACCAGGTTCAATTCTGTCTTGTGTTTCAGACTGCAATGCAAACTCTTGCCCTTTAGGATCCTCCCGTTTCTTGCGAATTCTGTTATTATACAATTAGAATATGAGTGGAAAAGATCATGCTACCACATCTAATTATGCCGTTGTTTTTCTTGTGTCTTTCTACAAAAGGATATGTTTTCAGAGAGTTGCGTTGATTTCTTTATAATCTCTTATTACCATTATTTGGTCATTCTAGGCAAATGAAGATATGGAATACATCAACTGCGAAGCAAAGGGAGCTCAGCAAGATGCTGGATGAATGGTATTTCTGTAATTTGCTTTACATTCCCACAGGAGATGTCGTCCAATAATGGCTAATGATATTTCTTGTGTGAAGGGCTGTATTCATACGTAGAAAATATGGACATAAACAGCTGTCATCGTCTATATACCTTAGCGAAGCTGAGCCTTTCCTTGAACAGTATGCTAAGCGCAGTCCACAAAATCAAGCTCTGATAGGATCTGCTGGAAGTTTAGTGAGAGCTGAAGATTTCTTGGCTATTATCGAGGTCAGGAGAGATGAAGAGGGTGATCTCGAGCCAGAAACAGAAATGAAACATTCAAGTCCAGTTCCCTCAGTGAAGGAAGCTATTAGGAAAGATGAGGGTCTCGTTGTCTTCTTTCCGGGTAAGAGTTATGCGCGTGGCCTATACCCCTCCCATATCTTATCAGTTTCTTTTCTTTGATTTCTGCTACAGAGAAAGAATAAATTGTGTATGCAACATCATTAATTAACACTTCCTAATAGCGAAGCCTTATTTACCAATAAACTTAGATAAACTGCCTAAATTGTTTTCTCAAATTTGTTTGATCAATCACTATATGTCCCTAAAGGGTCAGTGAAATCAAATCTTTTTAATCACACTAGAATATGTCAATTTTGGTATACTTCTTTCTCTTCTTACCTATTCCATTGGAATCGCATCTCTTCTGTGAATATGAACTTCTTTTTGTGTTCGCGTAAAACATATCTCAACCATCTAAGACATTGTTTCCATAATTTATCTTCAGCAACAGTTAACGTTGACATAGATTTAATTTCTTATTCATTGTTTCCAAATCATTCTGTTATGTTTGTACTTCCTCACATGGGCATTCTGGCTATGACTGCCAACACTCTGTGTTATAAGCATTACTAGTTTGATAATTATTCCATAAAACTTGTCTTATGACCACCGAGTCCATGTTTGCGCTTAACTAATTCCCACCCACTTTAGTCTTGTGTAGTACATCATATTTTAAGTCATTGATTATAAGTTGTTGAACCTATATACACATATATTTACATTTCAGGACGCATAATTCTCCATTTGGACTCCACTCGTCTTTATTCCTATTACTATTATGTGGGAACTTACAATTTGCTTAATCTAAAACCTTTATATCTTAATTCTATGTATGAAATCTAAGTTTTGCTTGACCTAAAACATTTATGTTCCAAAGTGTTGCTGCAAAATTCCAACGTACAATTTATCCTCTTCCTAGTCTCATCTACTAAAATGGTGTCATGATCAAGTAACATACACAAAACAACTTTATCATGGATTCTTTCACAAATGGATAAAAAAACAAGGAATTAAGGGTGCACCTTGATTGAAGTCCCCTCAACACTATTGCAACTTATCTGTTTAATATGTCATCTACAAAAGTCAAATTAGGGGTCCATTTAAGAAGAGTTACTGTGAGATTTTGAAGCAAAAATCTCAAACCTAAAAGAAACCCTAATTGCAAGAAGCTGAAGTCAACTTTGATGGTTCTTTCTTTTTTAGTCTGGTATCTTTAAAATATATCTTGAATTGGCAATGCAATTTATTTCAAGCTGCTTCTCTCGGCTACAGATTTTATTAAATGGCCAGGTGTCCTCTGCTCCACCTTAATCAGTTGTCAAACGTGGATATCAAAGGAGCGGAAAAATGCTTTGTTGAATTCAGAATTCTTTCTTCCAGTACCTTGCTGCATGTGTTTGCCAATATATGACATGTTATCCTCAAGTATTCTACTTCATATCGGATGAATATGTGAAAAGAAATGAAAGAAAGGGAAATTGTACATGCACTATGAACTCCAATATAACCACATCTGCCATTGCTGTGGACTGCCTCACTTGAGTTTCATTCTGGTTTCTGGCTTTGGTAAACGTTAAAGCAAATATCTGTTATGAGCAACATATGAATAAGAGAAATTGATTTATTGTCCTTTGGCTAGGTGACGACCTTCTCTTTTTTGTTTTCTTCCTCATCACTTTTTGTCATCTGACAGTAATAGAGGGGTAGGAAAAACAAAAGGGAAGAGTAATCAGCTTTCTAGGAACGGTTTAGTCAAATCTTTACCATGCATATACTAACTTTTTCTTCTGATTATTTCCTTCCTCTGCTTTCCATGATTACTCCTAATTCTCGTGCTATGCATCAAGAGTAATCATGATTCTAAAAGTTTCTGATTTTAGTTGTTTATGTTATTGAATTCTCCATTTCTTGCTTGGGGGTCCTGTTAGCATAGCAGAAAATCAATTCAATTCCTATATTCTTTATTTCAACGCTTGCATTATTTGACCTGCACCATGTATTGTCACTTTTTAGGAATACCTGGTTGTGCTAAGTCCGCAATTTGCAAAGAGATATTAAGCACCCCTGGAGGACTTGGTGATGATCGTCCAGTCCATTCCTTGATGGGTGATCTAATCAAAGGTATTGATTTTGATGTTTCAGTTAATCTCCAATTATTTCATTATGGTGGTCATAAAGGATCTGTTCTTGCAAATATTGCGATATCATTCATTAAAGAGCTGTATGTCTAACAAATTTGTGATGACTTATTTAAATGTGGACGGGTTTCGATTTGATGGTGGATCGATATTGAAATCCTCATTCTTGTTCTGGTATTCATCTTTGAAGTCTTGATGCTGACATGATACTAACAAGAGAACCTATATCTCTGGGTGTTCAACTAAGTTCAAATTCATGATAGTGAAATTTTTACCTAACTTGTTTTAAAAAATAGCAGTTATCGCTCTTATTCTTTTAATTTAGAAAAGAAAAAACTGGGCTTATATAAAAAATTTAAGAAGCCAATGTTTGGGTTAATGAGAAATTGTGAGTTACAGAGATCATATTAATGGAATAAGAATATCAAGAGATGTGTAAAATGGAAAAAAAAAAAGGTTTAGTTTACATTTTTTTTTTACCTGAAAATCTTAGTCCACAGAATTTTTTTTCCTGAAGTCACTCTCGTCTTGTCACGTACTGTTCCTTTTTGTAGCTCCAAGTCTTTGTATTGAGACTTGAGAATATTACCATTAAGGAACCCTTTTTCCGGAGAAAATCCTAATGTTCCTTTTTTCTGTTGCATCAATCCAAGCCTCATTGTTCACATAGTTTTGACATTAAATTCAATTTTTCTTATTTTAAATGACAGGAAGATATTGGGCGAAGGTTGCTGAAGAACGCCGAAGGAAACCTTTTTCTATCCTGTTAGCTGACAAAAACGCACCCAATGAAGAAGTTTGGAGACAGGTGATTTTTTTTCTTTCATTCTCTAGCTTCTCTCTGAGTATGGAATGATAGTTTTATGCAGATCTTGTGTAATTTGTGAAGAGAATGGTGGTGTATGTATGGAAGCACTGGAGTGTCTTGTCAACTGCAAGAATCATGATAATAATAGACTAGTACAGAATAATGCTAAGAGCTACTTGGATGACATGATGTTTTCATACATTGTATTGCTAAGTACTCGTACCAACATGACTTGTTCTGTATCCAGCATCGGAGCACATGACCGGGATGCCGACGCTGCCTTTTCCTGCCTCAGATTATCTTTGGCACTAGGAAGGAGTAGGGTGGGGCTGGGGTTTTTCTATATTGCTATATTGAATAGTTCTCTAGGTGAGTAAATCATCATCGTTGCTAATCTTTGTAGATTGAGGACATGTGTCGCAGCACCAATGCATCTGCAATACCTGTAGTACCCGACTCTGAAGGTAATTTCTCATTGCTACAATAGCTGTTTATCATCTTACAGGAAATTTACTACCTACAACTATTAGTTTGACGTTTGCTTATCGAATGATGAAAACTATCCAGATGTACTAAGCTGTATGTTGTGTCAGTTTGAGGGCTTAACAATTGTTTGTAGCTACTGTATGGTCGTCAGACTAATTGCATGATACCCTTGACTTGTTGAGCTGATAGCTATTCTCTTTTCTGTCTACCTTGGAGCTACATTGCACCAAAAGCTGGAGCTGTCATCGATCCATTTCCATACCTTCCATTGTATTAGAATCCATAATTCTACCTTTTACATTACATTTTACACAGTGTTTGAATCTGTTCTGACAAAAATAAATGTTAATAGAACACCAAGGTGCAGGCAATGTGCTTTGGTTTCTTACTTTTTGTACCTTCTCATTAAGCATGTAAAATTTTACCTTCTGCAACCTGATTGACATGCTAATGATTGTTGCAAGATAGTGGGTGAATGCTTTCTAATTTCTTGCTATTTACAGTTCATGTTTCCTTGAAGTCCTTGTTACAGTAAAATAGAGAAGAAATCATGTTTGCTTTGCAGATCTTCTTCAATACATTTATGCTTTTTTTATTTTTGAAGTGCTCTTTTCATTCAATTTGAGATATGTATTAGCTATGATGAATTCATAATTATGCCTTTTGTTTCTTCGCCAAATCATCTATTATTTTGTTTGTCTTTGAATATATGTGCTTTATTCTGATACCTTCCTTACTTATTTTGGTATATTTTTCTTATCTTTCTTTGGCCCCAAAATGTAGGAACTGAATTAAATCCATTCTCTCTTGATGCACTTGCTGTTTTCATATTTCGAGTACTTCACCGTGTTAATCATCCGGTAATCAAGCCTTGCTACTTAGTGTTGGACTAGTTCTCCACTTCCAGAAAAATCAAGACAATATTTCTAATTTGTATTTTGGCTTTTCTCCTTGAAGGGGAATCTTGACAAGTCATCTCCAAATGCTGGTTATGTGTTGCTAATGTTCTACCATCTTTATGATGGCAAGGTGCTGCTCTTTATGACTTTAGGATGTTATTATAATTTTCAAACTATTCATGTAATAGATTTTTGACAATGTCATTGTTAAATATTCACCAGAGTCGCAGGGAGTTTGAGACTGAGCTTATTGAACGGTTTGGCTCACTTGTGAAGATGCCTTTACTCAAATCTGACAGGTTTCCAATTTCTTCCATAAAACCTCAATGTACCAGCGTGAATCAGATTCGTCTTTTTGTTCTATAATTTTTTAGTTATGTTTTTACCTTAGAAAAGGTAACAAGGCTCATCTAGTATCATCTACAGAGCCTGAAATCTGTAGAGAAAGAGGAAAATAGGAAGCAAATAAACATAGTTGAACTATGGTGGCATAGCATGTATGCTACTACACTCTCGTTACTGCAATGAACTTTCTTTAGGTTATTGTACTGCCTACTTAGCGTCTGCTTGAGAACGGTAGGCATAAAAATGCTTTTTAGCAGGCCAAAGGCTACTTGCTTACCCCCAACCAGGTGCCACTTCCAGATGATTTGGGTCATGCCTGAATTCAAACCTTTTCGTTGGGCAAAAGAATTGAATGACCTAATTTTTATTTTTATTTTCCTGTTAGTTTTTATCTTGTTGCCTAGGATTTAATAATTATTTTTCCTATACTCTCTGCACGTGAAGGTCTCCTTTGCCTGAAATTTTGAGGTCTACTTTGGAGGAGGGAATAAACCTTTACAAGCTTCACACTAATACATATGGAAGGTCAGAATTTTATCTGCTCTACATGCCTGAAAGACTGTTTGGTTATTGTTTAGTCGATGTTTTGTCTGCTCCACTGCATTCTAATGTCAGAATGCTAGATCAAGTTTAATTACGTTTCCTCTTGCTGGTTCCATCCCCACACAGGGGTTTTTATTGTTTCTCTTTCTCTGTTGAGGGTGAGACGGGGTGTGGTCTTACTATATTGTATCATCTCACAAGTCCTTATGTTCTTCTGTTAGACTGGAATCCACAAAAGGCTCATATTTGAAGGAGTGGGCTAATTGGGAAAAGCAATTGCGAGAGACATTGCATGAGAATGCTGAATATCTTCATTCTATACAGGTCAGTTTTATTGTTTCTGTTGACTTGGTGGTGAATTTCATTATCAGTAAAACAAGTGAATCTTGTTATTGCTCTGTACCCTTAGTTTTCTCTGCAAAATCATAATATGAAGTTGTAACAAGGTCATATGGCAGAAGTTGCCACATCAAAAAACATGTATGAAGGGGCAAGAAGGATTCCCTTTGCTAGTGAAAAGCCAAAATTTTAGGTCATTAAATCGGTACTGGATTACTATGCTCAGTCTTTATCTAGGAATTGGACATATTGCTACCCACATGCATTTCCTATTGAGTTTCAGCTAATGAGCTAATGCATAAAAGCTAAAGGAGATTACCGTCACTCTAAGGTGGAAAGCACCCTCTAGTAATGTAAAATTATTGACTAATTCTGTTAACTAGAAAACTGTAACTTTATCCTAATATATTCAACCACTCGTGTTAATAAGAAAATTGACTGTATACTTTTTCTATATTTTGGTGTACTGTTGTGCTTACCTGTGGCGGCAAAAATTGGCAGCAGCCAAATACTGTTATCTGATAAATAAATATGAACTGTCTTCCAACTATATGATTCTAGGTCTTTTAACTGAACGGATGAGTATAAAAAAGCATGAAAAAACTAAAATATGAAATAAGTACTTAATTTAGTAAAAGCATAAATGACAGTAAATTAATCAGGCCTGACTTGATGTCATGTATGCACCTATCTGCTTGTCTTGGTTCAGATATAAGTAAATTAATCAGGCACAACTTGCTGTCATGTGTGCACCTCTCTGCTTCATTCTTGGTCCAAAATCTAAGGCTATTATAACTACATCATTACGTAAGGCAGCAGTTATTAAGGCTGATTCCATGGTTGAACCGAGTCTCTTGCTTCTTTATCTCGGAGAAAAATTGTGGCATGTCTTCATTACGTAAGATTGACTACTCCTGATGTTGGTACGTTTCCAGATCCCATTTGAATTTGCTGTTGAAAAGGTTCGGGAACAAATTAAGTCAATTGCAAAAGGGGAGTATAGGCCTCCTAGTACTGAGAAGCGGAATTTTGGAGCCATAGTTTTTGCTGCTATCACGCTGCCTGTTTCAGAAATCCAAAGTCTCTTTGACAATGTAAGTGAACATTTGCTTTCTCAACTGTTAACCTGATTGCTTCTTACTCCTATCTATTACCTAACAACTTCATAATCAGGTCTATTAAAATTGTTGATCCTGAAAATTCACTAAAGTTGGAGAATCATGTCTATTTTCACCTACCTACACTGGCTAGTTTGTTATTTCAATAGTTATTCGTTCATTTATAGTATTATATTCAGAGGGAACTGGCCTCCATCTGAGTCTGAACCAGATTGGCAGCATTAAAATCTTTCTCAAATTATTTTGTCTTTCCTGGCATTGGCATTTTTTCCTTCATATTTGCCTGATATAATTTTGCATCCAAGAGTTAAATGCAATGGAATGCATTCATATTGCATAGATATCGAATGAATACTTCTCACATTTGAATCTTTATGATTGGAACAGTTAAATGGGAAGGATCCTCGGGTCGAAGTTTTCCTTAAAAACCAGGATTTGAAGAGCAGTCTTTCGAAGGCTCATTTGACACTTGCTCATAAGAGAAGTCATGGTGTAGCTGCTTTAGCGAGTTATGCTTTGCATCTTAACCAGCAAGTCCCAGTTGAGATGACAGCGCTATTATTCTCCGATAAATTGGCTGCATTGGAAGCTGAACCTGGCTCAGTTGATGGGGAGAAAATAAATTCAAAGAACGAATGGCCCCATGTCACATTATGGACTGCTGAAGGAATTCCGGCCAAAGAAGCGAATATGTTGCCCCAGCTGCACACACAAGGAATGGCTACTCGCATCGAGATCAACCCACCTATCCAAATGACAGGAACGCTAGAATTTTATTGAGCTCCTTGTTGCCTTTTGTTCTCGTAGTTTGGGTGTGTCACAATTTTGTTTTATTGACAGTCGTGTAAAGAGTACTACGACTTGAGAACAATTTTGTAGCATAGTTTTTTTTCCTACTATTATGTGCATTCAAGGGCCAATGTGAGTTTAAAATTCTACGATGAGAATAAGTAACCGTTTAGGACTTATCTATGAATTTTACGGAGTTTTGTACTTCAACATTTTATATTTTGAAAGAGCATCACCAACTTCATATTTCCAGAATTCTCTATTGACTTCACCAGCCTTCTCTTCTCTCTTCCTTAGCAACTGTTGTAGAAGAATCTGTAGTTTCTTTTGAGATGTTGTCCACGCCTATTGTTCGTTGTGGAAGTACAAATCGTAAGTGCACGGATCACGTTCAAGTAATAAAGAGAACTTTTAGAGTTCGAGTTGTCGATCCATCGAGAAATGTTTATTTTCGATTGCACAACTTTAATCATTTTAATTCTAACAATGAAATAACACAATAAAAATTTTGATTTTGGAAAATTACTAAAAACTTCAAAATAAGAATCATAAAAGCTTTAAAATTTTTGGAAGAAAACGTGATAGGTATTAATGATTTCACTTAACCGTCGTCTAATTAATTTATCCACAAACCAAATAACAAATTACTTATTTACGATGTTAGAATCAATTTTTCAATTTTAGTTAATTATCTCTCTCGAGCGAAATAAACACTATTGATTGGTTTAACATATTATATCTCTATATCGATTAAAAATCAAACAACCGTATTAAATCTTTATGAAAATAGCTCAATGTGTCACACGGAGTTAGGGGTATATCTATATCCCTACACAAACATAGAATTTTTACTATTTGGTCTAAAATACAAAATTTTCTCTCGAACAATATACAAATCACTAAACATAATCATTTATTGACTATATAAATGAAAATGCAATAATAACAATAATAAAAACACAAGAAAATAGGTAACTTAACATCAAAGAGCAAATATTAAAATTAATTAAAGTTAGATCCAGCTACTACCATAAATTCCAACACATAATAAGTCTATTTTATACAAATGATAAAAATGAGAATATTTATAACAATACATCACAAGTATGGTAAAACAATAGAGAAAATACAAGTTTATAGATAAAATCCGTTTTTCTTGGATTTTTCAATATGTAAATTGATTTAGGGATAACGAAAAAATTCATCCAACCCGATTCCAGCGAGACCTCGTCTCGAATGGGACGGGAATTACCTGTCTAACCGAGTAAATAGGGCGAGGACAGAACAGGGTTTATTGCCCCAAAGCGGGTATGGGGAGGGTACAAAAAACTTAGTTCCCGCCGTACTACCCATTCGTTTAAAATTAATTTCAAATTTAAACTTTTTATCAAGCAAAAATAAAATATTTATCTTCATTTTTAAAGAGATTATAAGTTATTCTTAACAAATTAGAAAAAAAAATATTTACTGATTAAAAATATAAAAAAATAAAAACAAAAAATAAAATAAATAAAAAATAAAAATAAAAAATAAATGGGGCAAGGGACTCGCCCCGTTCTGCTTTAACTGGGTATGAAGAAAGGATAAAGTGACAAAAATACCCAACGAGATGAGTGGGGAATGGCCGACCCGTCCCGTTGCCATTCCTAAATTGCTTACTCTTGATTTCTCCAAAACTTTTTCATATCCTTTGATAGCTCCTCCTTGTGCTCTAGGTTTCCCTACTAAATACCAAGAAAAATGAATGAGAATAAAAGGAAAAGGAAAAGAAAAAGGAAAAGAAAAAAAAAAATGAAAAGAAGAAATAGAAAAGAATAAGGGGAAGATTACACATTCAAGAGAATAAGTTTAATCTATTTCAAAAATAAGAAAACAAGTTTGAAATTTTCAAAATCAGATTTTTATTAAAAATTTTTAAATTTTTATTTATGAAATAATAAATGATTAAATTAATTTATTATTAAATATTTAATTCTAATACAATATAATTAAC